TTCGATCGCTAATTGCTCAAAATCCATCGCTAATTTCCATTAGCGACGGATCGATGAAGGACTATCTCGTTTGTTGCTATTTTACTTGTCGCTAATTTTTAGCGAGGAAAAAATCCATTCCGCCGCTAATTTGTAGCTATTTTCATCGTAGAACCATCGTGGCTTCCATCATTAATCCATCACCGAATAGCGATCAAATATCCGTCGTTAATATCCTTAGCTAACAAAGCCTCGACTATTCTGTTGCTAAAATGAAAAGGGCAATTTGTCACTATTCCATTGCGAAATTTTTAAAAAACAATTTTTTTATTTTTAAATTATTAATATTATATTTAATAATTAATATTGGATGTAATAGTTAACAATTAAAAGTAATAATATATAGATTAAAATTGAATTAATATTAACAATAACATTGAGTAGTACGTTTGGTAAAATAAAACAAAGTCACTAAATGTTTTTTTTATCACTTATCTTGCTCGTCTAATCCTATATCCTTCTCCCGGTACTATGTGGAGGGCTCGGTGAAAGGATCGGGTAGAGACCGAATGAGAAGTTATGTGAAAGGAACGGTAGACCGCTAACCGGTCGATGGATTTATAGGCACCCTACTTGTCCGTGCTAGCCTCTTCACTAAGGATACCATTAAGTTGTACCGAGATTTCGGACTATGTATAATCATTTGTTGCTCCGAGACCGGGCTTTGGAGCTCGTGTTTCATCTCGCATCCTTTTCATCGCTTTTTCGTAGCCTTGTAGTCTCTCGAAAGCTCTTCGTTCGCACGGTCAACAACATAATGCGATGTTGCAGAGGAGTTGTCGCCATTTGACTAGGACATGTAATACACCGATTATATGCTTACACCATAGTACCTTTTCTTCTTATCTTCAACAATCTCGAGGTATATGGTATTCTTGTCAATTTCCGGCTCCACGATTCCTACGAACTGCCGAGCCACAACTCGCCTCTTGGATGAGCTATTCTACATGATCCTACGTAATCAAAATAATGATATCATCATTATAAGATTAAAATCAAAATTAGAACTATCTTTTCATATTTAATATTTGAAATTGAAAAACACTTACCATTATTTGCTAGGAGCGCATATCGAAAAGAACTATCTCGTCGGCTTGTGAATCATTTTAAACATCTCAAAACTCATTGGTCGACGACTCAATTTTGCCTCTTGAAAAAAATCCATTACAAAGAATGTGAGAAGAAAATTGAAATTTTCTTAAACATATAATTAATAATAAAAAATATGCAATTTACTAAGCGACGGATGTGCTCTTTCACGTATATAGAGCCTCCCGTATGCTTAGAAGGACCCTTACCAAGGCCACCAGCCTCCCACAATCGGTTCCATATTTATTAATTGAAGTTATCATTTTAACTTTAATTACATGAAATTTTATCTATATTGAAGCTAAAAATGTTTGTGTTTATTAAATTTTTCCGATTAATTTAATAATAAATTCAACTAAATTTAATTTAATTAATCCTAAATAAAATGATTATTATTTTTTATTAATTAATAAAATGTTTATAAAATTTTAACGTTTAAGTTTATTTTTCAATTACATTTTTATTCCAGCTTTTCTTATTTTTTGAACAATTAAATCATTATGCATATTATCTTCTTTAAATTTAAATAATTAAAACTATAACAATTACTTATATAATTTATATTCAAAATAACCATATATCAAATCAATTAGATTAAACTAATTTAAATAATTAAGCTAGCAACTAATTCAAACAAAACACAATATCACAAAATTAACAATAAATTAAAAATAAATTCATCAATTAATAAATTAAAAATTTCTTAAGAAATAATCAACAAAATTTAACTAAAGTACGTTAAAAATTATATAATTTAAAAATTAACTTAAACAAACAACTAACAAAATTCACCTAATAATTAAAACAATTAATTAATTGATTTATTAAAAAATTTAAAATATCAATTAAATATTAAATAATTAAAATTTAATCCAAAAATTTAAAACAAATAAATTAACAATAAATCAACCTTAACTAAATTACATAAAAAATTACCTTAATAAATATAAACCTAAAAAATTAACATAATTAAAAAATTTTAGATTAAAATTAACATATTTAAAAAATAACACTTAAAAAAATTAATCTAACAATTAAGAAAATTAAATTAACAATTAACAAATTGACACTAATAATTAACAAATAAATTAACACAATTAAAAATTAATAAAATAATAAAATTAATAACATCCAAACATTTAATCAACTAACAAATAACAAAATTAATCTAAAAATTTATAACATTTATTTAATTTAAAAAAAGAGTTAGAGAGAGAAAGTTGTATCGAAGAGATCAACGAAAAGATAGCAAAGATTTCATCGAATTTTTGAGGGAGAAAGATGTACCTCACCGAGTTGAACGGTTTTAAGAGTCACTTAGTGGCGTGGGACGATGTGGGGGGTGGTTTTTTGGCTAGCAGCCAATTTTTGGGTGGAGAAGAAAGGGGGCTGAATGGGGAAGAGGAAGTGAAACTAGCCGGCGATGGAATTTCAATTCCATCGCTATTTTTTATTTTTTAGGTGGGAATTTTCCCACCCAAATCCCAACTAGAGATGGATTTCAAATCGTCACTAATTTTGAAACTAAAATTAGCAATAGATTTGACAATCCATAACTAAAATTGCGATTTAATTGAAAAAATTCTCACGTAAATTGCCAAAGTAAAATCCGTCGCTATTTTTGGTTTCAAATTAGCGATGGATCACTATTCCGTTGCGAATTTGAACCCCCGAAGGCAACCCACTATCTTTATTTAGCGACGGAATAAATCCGTTGCTATTTATCGATTGATACCAACTAATCGTAATCCATCGCTAAATTAGTGACGAAAATCTATCACTATTTTGTCGCTCAACGTGACACTTTTTTTATCGTGTTATTTTCCGACGGAATTAATTCCGTCATTGAGTTTTCCTCACTATTTTGCCGCTAATCAGTCGCAAAAATTATATTTTTCTCCTTCGTCGTTAATCTATTGTTAATTTGTCTCTAATTAAAGATGAAATAGTATCATTCGCTAAAATCCGTTGCTAACTATCAATTTTCTGGTAGTGTTAATAATTATTTGTTATTTGGTGAATCCTCAATTCGTTCTTATGTGTGGTTGAATTTGCCCCTCTAAATATGTGTTGTCGAAAAAAAACTATTTCAAAAATGTTTGTTTAAAACAGCTATCAATTAATTAAAGTAATTTGAGTAATTTCTAATTTCTAAGAGGTTGGCAATTTCCCACAAAACAAAACATTTGAGCAATTTGTAACTTTCAAATATCAGATTGGTGATCATATTTGGTGGGTTGTCCCTTCGTTAGGTGTTATTTCTTGGAGCCACACAAATATTCTCAAACCTACTCTTCATATATATATATATATATATATATATATATATATATAATCTTAGTGTTGACTTGTTCTATATTCAGGTTTCTGGTTGTTCTAATGGATGCCTATGTCATTTATCTTAATGTTGACTTGTATAATAGTTTTCATTGGCCCGCCGGCTTTCGAAAAGGGTTTACTCTAGAGGTGGGGAATTAATTGAAGTAATTAATTAATTAATCACTCGTATTGAATAATAGTATAATATTATCAGAAATTTTAATCTTATATATATATTAACTTTCTGACTAAGCCAACATAAATTAATTATAATAATTAAAGTTTAGGAAATTCCAATTGAGACCAGAAACATTAACGAGATCTATAAGTAGTTGTAACTCTAAATTAATATTTATGACGACTAAAAAAAATGATTAATAGAATAATATTGTTAATTTGTCACAGTATCTAATATATAATAGGTTTAATTTTAATTTATCTCTTTCAAGTTTGGAGGGAATTCAGTTTTCTCCCCTGAGATTTCAATTGTTTCAATGTCCCATTGGGATTTCAGTATTGAATCAATTAACAAAATTTCTTCATCAGTTCTTAATTTTTGAAATTTGATCAATTAAATCTTTTACAAATAATTTGAGGAGAGAAAGTATTTTACTTTCAATCAAAAGATCCATGCAAATGATGGCATGCATATCATTTATGTTTAAAACTTATAAATACAAAAATCATAAAATATTGTTGAATATTTATCAAACTAAAAATTATAGGTAAAGATAAAGTTTGAACCATGGAGCTCATTATTAAATAAATAAATTATTTTATTTTTTTTCTTTGAGGAGTCAAATGTTGCATCACGTCTAGTTATCAACATTAATTATTTTTCACCAAATATATTGTTGCTTTATTAGTTGATGATTATACATTAATTTGTAACATACAAAAGTTTATTTTTGTCCTTTGGGCAGTAGGCTTCATAGTTCTCAGGTTTTTTTGAATCTTATGTAGTCTTCCTAATTTAATATTTTCACGATTTTCAAAATATTTTTTTTCTGTTTATTTCCAATGTAAACCATATATATATCCTTCAAGTATTTATCTTTTTTCTTATAATTTTAGAGATTTTCTTGATTATGGTGATGTCACGTAAGATTTTCTTTTTATTAGGAATATTGTAATTAATTTAATAGTTGGATACAATTTCTACCTCGTAAAAAGAAAATTATGATTTTAATTATTTAATTTTTTTTATTTTACTTTGCACAAGTTATTTATTTATTTATGCATGGATAATCGACATGTTATCATTTGGATATTTTAATTGGAGTTTTACGAGGGACATTCATATGATCGAAACCTTAGGGGCAACATTGATATAACTGAAACTTTAAAGAGAGAAACTAAATTAGCCCAAAACTTCAGAAGGTAAATTGAAATTAGGCCCAATAATAAATTCCATACCATATATGATGACAACATTTCACACGATATCGTCCGTTGGCCCCACTAAATTAAAATATTGCATATATAGCATACATTATACATCTATTTTCTCTATCTACTCTCATTTCTCATCATCTCGAACTCCCGTTCTAAAGATGTCAACCGATTCAAGATCGACGGATAAATTTGAAGGACTCGTCGGAGGTATGCATGGTCTATAGATCTATTATCTATGATATCCCTAGCTTAGTTGTTGAACGAAAAAAAGTTGGTTTGTAATTAATTATTTTTATCATTTCTTTTTTTTTTCTACTACTATAAAGCTAACCCTAGTTACTTTGCCAGCCAAAATAGAAGATGAGAGCCTTCTAATCTCTGTTTTAAGACACAGAAAATCTGTTCTTTCTTTGTTGGTTTTTATCTTTTGTTTTGTTTTGGTTTATTGATATATAAGGTGAGGCTCAAGGATATGATATGATATGGCCTAAGGGTTTTGTTTTTGTTTTGTTTTGGTTTGTTGATATATAAGGTGAGACCTAAGGATATGAGGCCTCAGGATTAATTTAATCTTTGGATTTGAAATTTGTACATGCTCATGTATATTATCTTATACTATCATATTAAATGATTATTTAACCTAAAAACTTAACTTGTTATGTGAGGCATATTTGATTTCATCAAACGTATAGCTCATGCAACAATTTCACTGGAAACTGCAGGAATTCAGAACCCAGATGGGAATGATCCAATCCGATACCCGTTGGATCAACCAGTAACTTCTCGCCTGACTGAAGCAGACAAAAGGAAACGGAAACAAGAAAGTGACAAGAAATGTCGCGAAAAGAAGAAGGTAGTGACTAAATATTTAAATATTTAGAAAAATTGTTGAATTTCAAGAAGATTTCTTAAAAATAGTAATTTCCTCCTATATATTTTTTAAAATACTATATAGATATTTGTTTTTATCATTATAACTAATTTTTTGTTTCCATGTACGGTGTAGAAAAAGATGGAAGAGAATGACAAGCAGGTTAAAAGGCTTGAAGAAGAGCGTGCGTATTACAAAGGAAAAGTAGATGCGTTAGAAAAATTAATAACTGAACGTTTTGGTGAAAAATTAGCAGATTCGTTCAAGAAAGCCGTGGAACTTGAAGGGATTACAGCAAAACCAATGCAAAGCGTATGCTTATGCTTCCTCTGCTGTTTTTTTTTTTCTTTTTCTTTTTAAGTATTCAATTTGGCTGAAAAATTTTATCCCAAAGATTTTTCTGAGCAAGAGAAGCTCCATTTGAAGTTTCAATTGCAACCTCAAGAGCTTGATGTTACCAAAACATCCGAACTTTCTGAGTTGTGTAGGGCAAAGGCACCTCCTGGAAGATCAAAAATCTATCATTTAATTGATGCAGGATTAATTTGACTAATCACCTAGGCCTCTCGTAGTAGAATGGAGGATGATTGTCTTTCCGAGAATTTAGTTGTCTACATAGAAAAAAGATTGCTAAGAACTTCACAACAAATATGACTGTGGATGATTTCTACTTGATCAAAGATCATTGAGGATGACATAATGTTAGGGTTCTTTGGGCAACCAGGGACCAGACCACTAGCCTAGATAATCAAAGAGGCTCGGGCTGCTCTCTTCTTCTTATTATTATATGATAACGAGAATGAAAATTTTTTTTGTACTTCTTTTTTTATGTCTGTAATGAACATCTTTCCTCAAAACCTGCTTGTAAAGTTTACACCAATGCATATCATCATTTCTTCATTGAGAATCAGAATCTATCTAATAAATTTTCTTGTACGCACCCAAAATTTTTGCAGTGGCAACTCCCTGGTGGAGGGGCATTGGGTAGCACATCTGCCGTTACAGAAGAAGTTGCTTACCCACCATTAGAGCTGTCTGTTACAGCCAAGAGGTCAGATGGCTCGATAACGTCAGAGCCATTCGCGCTCTGTCAAGCACTCCCTGAGGAATGGAACCAGCTGGTACATCTCCATTTTCTTTTCTTGCTTCCTCTTTCCCGTTTTACGGTGAGTTATTACGTACTGATGTTGGTTTCAGGCGACGGGGCAACATGGACTGCTGATACGGGCCTTCTTCGGGCTCAAGGAGCATTACACTGCCTCAACAGAACGTCATGCACAGGAGATAGCTGAGTTGGTAATGCACAAAGAATCCCTTTTCTTATGGTTTAAATGCATTTTTTTCCCTCGAAACTATTTGAGTTGCGATAAATTAAGACCTGTATTATTAATTTGATCAATTTTAGTTTTAAGTTATCATGTTTTGGCAAATATTATCCTTTCGTTTGATTCGTCCATCAACATTGATCAAAAACTTTTTTAAAAGAATTCAATTTTTGATATTTTGAGTTGGTAAAAGTTTTTAGATATGATAAGAAAAATTCAATCCATTTTTAAGAATAATTTTAAATTTTTTTTAAAGTAAAGTGAATTTTTATTAACATATGTGAAATTTTTTAGATAAAAATTAAAAAAAAAAATTTAAAAATGATTTTTAGTCAATGATAATAGTAAAATCAAATGGAAAGAGACAGCATGCAATGCCTTGAAGTTAAAAACCATCTGGACCAATAAGCTTCCTTCGTTGCTTGGTTAAAATACCTAAATAAGATCGGATCTCTCTATGCATCTTAGTTTCTTCACATCCATCTTGTTCTAACTTCTAACAATCTAAACTTTAAACTGAAAAAGCGGGAGGAGCTTTCAGTAGATATTGATTCACTGTTTGCTTGAGCTGGCTGGAGGAAAAGTAGACACCGTGCAAGAAGCTTCATGAGGAGTGCGAGAGCAGTACGTACGCAGGACTACCAGCTAGTTAGAGCAACATACTCTTTCTTCATCTAGTTTCCTTGAAGATTTGAATGAACTATGACTTCTGTTGTTCATTTTAATTTCGTTTGCCTGTTTCTTGTGTTTTGAGTTTGCGTGCCTTAATAAGCTGAATGGAACTTTCATCTTTTACTGTTGATGTTTTATGCATGGTTGATGATGATGCCATTACATGAGCTTATAATAGCACTCCACGACAATGAAAAAAAGAAAAGAAGAAAGATATGTAATAGCTAGTGTGCCATCATGAACACTATTGTGTGATTCCTGAAATTAGAAATGGAAGCAACTAATTACAATATTAGGGGAACTTTTTATTAATTCAGGAAAATAAATTTGTGTAAGCGATTCAGTTTCTTTAATGTTGAAACACAATGGATCGAATGTCGTAAAATTGGATCTAAACTATTCTGCGATTGGACATGTGTAGCATGATGGCATTTTTTTTTTTTTTAATGATAATCGGGATTTTGATTGATAAAAGCCAGCAGCAAAGCCATAAAATGGTGGCCTGCTGCTAAACCCAAAGAAAACCAGAAAAAATAGAGCAAACTAAATCCAGGCTAAAGACTCATTGAAGCTAACCACAAGAAATGACTCAGTGATAAGAGTTTTGGACTTCCAACAAAGAGATTTAGGGTTCTAATCCTACTTTCTACGTCTCTTTGTGACTATCACAAGGCTTTCGCCTGCCTTTTCGATTCCAAGAATGTGGAAAGTTTGGTACTGGTGTTTAATACTATAATTATGGGCTATTGACCCAATGCAATCGTTAGGTATTGAGACCTCAAAGCCTGGAAAAATAAACAAATTAAAAGTACCAATATGCACAGCTCAAACTGATTGAGTAAAGCCCAAATCAAAAGGAAGCCTTCAAAATCTGAACCCTGCATAGGGTTAGGCTAGATAGCCTCCAAATCTGATGAACTTTTGTTGCCAACATGACGAAGAGTTTTCATTTCGTTGAATGTTGGTAGTGGGTGACTAAAAAGTTGGAGCTTGTGATGACATCAAGCCAAAGTTCTAGATAGTGGCTTAAATCGAAGTAAAGATTTCACCTGCAATAATCATGATAGAATGTCTCTGATCATATCTTCAGGTATATAAAAATTGCTCTCATGTTGATCTTGATCTTCTCGAGAAAACTAACCAGAGAAAGAAGGAACAAATAATGGGAGAGGGATTTAAGAGCGTTTGAACTATGTCTAGCATTCCAATTATGAGGCAGCATTAGCTACTGGCAATTTCGTGGATCAAGAACTCGTCAAGAAGACCGTGCAAATATCGACAAACGGGAATTGAATATAAACCAATTACGTAGAACTCCAACTCAGTTGAATATGAACATGTCATCAGACAAGCGAAATATTCAGCAGACACAAAGGCAAATCATGGAGACCAAAACAATTCACGAGATTTCATACCATCCAAATAGTAGCTAACTTCTGCTGCTATTTTGCCAGTATTCTGAGCCACAAAGAATGCAACCTCACTTAAATCTAACTCCAAGTTGTGGAGATTGATGCAAAGGAAATACCAGGCCACAGAGAATGCTACCTCACAGAATTTTAAATCCAAGTTTGGCAGTAATTGATGCAAAGTAAATATTTGAGAGGCAAAAAAACAACAGAACAGACTACGGGTCATAAAAAGCTAAATATTTGTTGCATTTCTTACATTATTTTATTGATAGCATGCAGCCTTAAGCTTTGAAAGTACAAACAGTTTAGAGTTCTCAGAAATTAATCAGTTTAGTCACAGAAAACTCTCATATGAAAGACATAAAATTTAGTAGAAAAAGCACTACTAATTATACAATCAAACTGTCTAATTTCAATATGTTTAATTGTTAGTGTAGACTGAAACCATACTCTCCACGTAATTATGAGCTCGTCCAGAAACAAGGGCTTTATCTAGAACAAGCATTTTCGATTGTTTAGTCAAGAGATTGAACAAACACAAGGTATCAATCCTTTCGAGATCCAAAACTATACTTTCTTCATCAACCCAAAATCCAAAAGGCGGCAGACAAATATCAACAACGCGAAAGGAATTTCTACTACATGTCAATACCATTGTCCAAGATTCGTTCTTCATCACCCATAAATCAAACTGGAAAGCTGAAATATTGATTTTGGTCGAACTATCATAATCGTATGTGCAAATAGCAGGTAATTCTTTGTATACCATAAGCTCCACTTTATATAAGTGGACATCAATGTCATCAGCAACAACATAATCATTATATTGTAGAGGTGCAGCTTCCACCTTTGAGAAACTGTCATCACTCATGTCGAATCTCATAATATACGGTCTTTCTTGATACACTGCTAGATTATACCACACTCCTTTTACGACCACCGGCTTCGAAATACTATGATCATATGAAGGAACGGCATCCTTAACTTTTCTCCAAGAATCTGTACTTAATGCAAAAACCACCGCTTCCCGCTGGTTCTTCGAATTCGAAAAAAGTTGCAATAGTTTGTAGTCGTTTATACCCTGATGGAAACCAAACCCTTCATCATGACTGTAACCAATCCCCTTATAAGGAGGCAACTTTCGATGTTGTCTTGTTGCTGGATTCCATAATACATAACAAGCTGTATTTCTCCATCGTGTGGATAAACAAAGTAAACCATTGCTAGAACCCACAATTCTTGCTCCATGTTCATCCAGATCCTTCTCCAATGGCATGTTGCGATCATCAACTCTTTCTGGTCCATCACGAAACACTGATATGCTAAACGAGTCCCGCCAAGTTAGCATGATACAGAGTTTAGGGTTTGAGGGGAGTTGGTAGTGATTGGAAATAAAGTCGGAGCTTGTGATGAGAGCAAACCAATGTTTGCTTATAGCCATAAATCTAAGTAGAGATCGGACTGGTAACCGTAATAGGATTCCTCTGATTATATCTTCAGGCAAATACGAGTTGCTTCCCATGTTGATTGTATGCTATCTTCTTAAGGAAGTTGAGAAAAAGAAGAGACAAAGAAGAAAGAAAATAGACTTGGAATTTAGAGGGTGACCTTTTCTTTTAATGAAGCTAGGGTTTGGGTTGTGCAGGTTTGCGCGTTACAGTTATATATATATATATATATATATATATATACAGCACAAACTAGGGTTTTATAGATTGCTATATTTCCTTTTTTGACACGGATAGGGTGAGGGGTAACTATGGAATCTATCCGAGCTTTTCCAAGCGCCAGAATATATACTATTTTAGCGCATGTAGCCACTCTTATCAATTTTATTTATTTACTAGTTGTATTTGCGCTGCCAGCCAATTAAATATATTTATTAAATAAAAATTTTAATTTAATTTAATTATATAATTTTTAATCAAAATTTTGCAGCTATTTTTTATTATTTTTAAATACATTTTATAGTTAAAAAAAACATGATTTTTTCAAAATTTTGCATTTATTCTTAAAAGAAAACCATAACAATCTACATATAAAATTTTTAAAAATATTTTAATATTTTTTTCATAAGATTATATCAAATAAATAAAGCAACAATTAATATAAAAATCTATATAAAAATTAACGAATGAATCTTTTTTTATTTTGGTTTAATACTGGTGAGAAGAATATATACACACACACACAAAATAATGTATAATATTAGTATAAAAATTATATTTGAATCATTAGACAATTCTTTTAAAACATTATTTCGATTGTTTTATTTAAAAAAATTAATTTTAAAATATAAAAAATAATAGCAAATGGTTGATGTTATGAGTGAAGATTCATAGTTAATTTTTAATAAAATCAATAACTCTAATTTTTTTTTATATATACATCATGACCATACTCATAGGGTCAAACGTGCAACATAAACCAAATTTCTATTTTTTTTTTAAGAAAAAAAGTTGTAAAAAATTTATTGAACTTAATAGAGTGCAATAAAAAAAAACTACAAAATTAATTTTGATAAAATTTGATTATTTAAAGAATAAGTAAATAAAACATGTGAATTCTATTTTTGAAAATTAATTATATAAAAATAAGCAAATAAAAAAACTATAAAAAAAAACTTATTTGAAAATCCATGCATAAGAGAGAATAAATCATATTTATTAACAAATAAAATTACATAAAAAAGAACAAAAAATTAATGTCATGAATGTTTTATAAGAAACAACAAATTGAAGAGATAAATTTTTAAATAATAAAAATAATATATATATATATATATATATATATATATATATATATATATATATATTCTAAAAACATATTATATATATTTTATAATCATAAGCTTGTGTGAGGAAAAAAATAATGATAGATTTTTCATAATTTTCACACTTAATTCAATAAAAAAAAACTTAAATTGGTGAAGAAAACCAAAGAAAACAGAGAGAGAGAGAGAAATAACGATTAATTTTTATAACTTTCACTCCAATTCAATAATAAAAAAATATAAATAGTGGAAAAAATCAAAGGAAAAACCAACGAAAAAAAAAGGACGAGGTAGGCATGCATGGCCATAGAAGCAGGCCGAATGCAGCAGGCCAAGAGACCAAACAGCTTAGGGTATCGAATTGTCATTTTAAAACTTCAAGGACCAAAATTAAACATTAAGTAAACTTTAGATATATATGTCCAAAAACAATTGAAAAATCACAAAAATATCACCCTTGTCTATAGTTTATGAATAGCTGTGGGGGGATGAACATTGATTTTAATTGTTCAAAACCCGCCCTCTTTTAGTTTCTTCTAATTTTTTTAAAATCTATCCCTAATTTCATTAATTTCCAAGTACGTCAAGTTGAAATTGATAGTAGTTGAGGAATTTTTGTTTTATTAAACGTTAAAATCAATAGGTTATGATTATTAATTAATATTCTTTTCCCTAAACAATCTTATTATTAATGTTTGGATGCATGCTTGGCAAGTTCTGATCATCGATTCTATTTGTTCTGGAATGAAGCACTAATAAGCTATTTATGCTATACAAGTCCTGCTGTGTTAGCATGACAGAGAATTTTGGATTTCAGGGATGCTGGTAGTGGGTGATGAGAGCAAACTAATGTTTGCAGAGAGCCTCAAATCGGAGCAAAGTTTGCACCAGTACTCTTAATAGAATCTCTCTAGCTAATCATTTCTTCAGGCAAATCGGAGTTGCTCCCCATGTTGATGGTGATCTTCTACAGAAAAATTAGATCGGAGAAAGAGAGGCATTTTTGTTTAGCTATTGACATCTCAATGCAGGGGAGTTCTATAGTTCTAGACTTGTAGTTACTTGAAAGCATACGTTGATAAGCAGCAGATAGATGTTAAACCAAAACAATCCCTAAAAAATACAACATTTACAATAACAATTTAAATAAATTCAGATAAAATACCAAACGATTTCCTGAAATTATGTAATTTAAAAAGTAGATCAAAAGGATGGATTAGATAATCGCAATTTCTTGGATCAAGCACTCATCGAGAAGATCATGTAAGTATGGAAAACAGAATTGAATATAAACTAAGCAGAACTCCAACTCTGTTGACAAAGTAAATACTTGAGATGCAAAAGAACAACAGAACAAACTGTATTGCAAATATAAATTCATAATTAATAGCTAAATAGGTTTAATTGGTAGTGTAGACTGAAACCATACTCTCTACATAATTATAAGTTCGTCCAGAAACAAAGGCTTTATCTGGAAGAAGCATTTTCGATTGTTCAGTCAAGAGATTAAACGAAGACAAGGCATTCGTGTAGAGCTCCAAAATTATACTTTCTTCATCAACCCAAAATCCAAAAGGCTGCGCATCAATATTAAGGGAATTTCCACTGCATATCTTTGTCCAAGATTCGTTCTTCATTACCCATAAATCAAACTGGAGAGCTAGAATCGAACGGTCACAATCGTATGTGCAAGTAGCAGGTAATTCTTTGTACACCATAAGCTCCACTTTATAAAGGTGCTGGTCAATGGGCTCACCAATAAGATAATGATCATAAGATGCAAAATGATTATAAGATAGAGGTGCAGCTTTCACCTTTGAGAAACTGTCATCACCCATGTCGAATCTCATAATAAATGGTGTTTCTTCATGCACTGCTAGATTATACCACACTCCTTTTACGACCACAGGGTGCGAAATACTATAATCATATGAAGGAATAGCATCCTCAACTTTTCTCCAAGAATCTGTACTTAATGCATAAACCTCAGCTTCCGTCGACTGGCCCTGCAAATCGGAAACAAGTTGCAAAAGTTTGTAGTCGTTTATACCCTGATGGAAACCAAACCCTTCACCATGGCTGTAACCAATCCCCTTATGAGGAGGTAACTTTCGATATTGTCTTGTTGCTGGATTCCATAATGTATAACAGGCATCTTTCCATAGCCTGGACAAACAAAGTAAGCCATTACCAGAACCCACAATTCTTGCTCCGTATTTCTCCAGCTCCTTCTCCGATGGTATGCTGTGGTCATCAACTCTTTCTGGTCCATCACGATACACTGATAAGCTATACGAGTCCCGCCGAGTGAGCATGACACAGAGTTTAGGGTTTGAGGGATGTTGGTAGTGATTGGAAATAAAGTCGGCGCTTGTGATGAGAGCAAACCAATGTTTACTTGTAGCCATAAATCTAAGTAGAGATCGGACTGGTAACCTTAACAGGATATCTCTGATTATATCTTCAGGCAAGTACGAGTTGCTTCCCATGTTGATTCTACGTTACCTTCTTAAGGAAGTTGAGCAGAGGAAGAGACAACGAAGAAAGAAATAGACTTGGAATTTAGAGAGTAACTTTTTCTTCTAATAGGAGTAGATTTAGGGTTTGGGTTACGCAGGTTCGCGCATTATATATACATCACAAACTAGAGTTTTTACTGGAATGTATCTCTAGTTTCATTATTTCCAAGTTCATATAGGTTTTTTATAAGACTTGAGGAGTAGATTTAGGGTTTGGGTTATGCAGGTGTGTGCATTATATATATATCACAAATTAGAGTTTTCACTGGACTGTATCTCTAATTTCATCATTTCCGAGTTCATATTAAATTGAAATTGATAGGATTTTCATCAGACTTGAATTATCGGTAGTTATTTTTTCCTTTTATATATATTTTTCTAATTGAATTATCGGTAGTTATTTTTTATTGGTATAAAATGCTTAAGCGTTTGAAATTAATTCAAGCCCTAACTCGTTTGTGTCAGGCTTTATAGCCCACTTTCTTTCACTTGCCTGCCAAATCAGGCCCAAGGTGTGAAGCCTGAGTTCAGGCCCATCTGTGGTCGGAGTCGCTTCACGTGTTCTGTGCTTGGAAATTGGATGAGATAAAACAATTTGAAATTGACAGATGTTGACAGTTGAGGAATTTCGTTTCCTTAAGGAATATAAAATACACAGAGTGAATTATAAATTAGTCCCTCTAGTTTTATAAAATGAATTAAATAATTCCTCTAATTTTAAAAACTAATTAATTAATCCCTATTGTCCATTTCATGTTCTTATTTGATTTTTTTTTTTTTTTTTTTTTGGTTTTAACTAATAGAAAAGAAAAGAAATAATTAAATTGCATAAAGAAATTGATGGAAAAAAATACATTTTTTAAACAAAATAATATTAAATTAAATATGATCAATAATTATCAAATGACTAATTAATTAATTTTTAAAACTAGAAGAACTATTTAATTCATTTAAAGAAACTCACTTATAATTTACTCAATGATATATATTAGCATTATTAATTTTTAAGGTAAAGCTAACGAAAGTCTTCGGGCACCCTTTAATTATTTTAATCATTTAGTATCCGAGAAAACCAAAACACATTAATCATGAAAAATTTTATAATACTCAACGAATAAATATCAATACTTATTTGATAAAAAAGATAAAAATAAAAATGAGAGAGAATTAAAAAAAACGAGCCCAAGTGAAAATATTCTATTAATTTGTGGATTCAAGTATAATTCCCCCTCCCTCTTTTTTTGTATCTCTTTTTTTTATGTTTATTTTTCTCCTAAAAGTGACTCAATTGAGTAAATATTGATAGTCATTCTTTAAATGTTTTAAAATTTCTTCATTATTTAGCATTTAATTAAAATAATATTTCTCCCTTTAACTACCATTTAATTAAAATATTTTACTAAAGATTAAATTTACTAAAGTGACCATTCTATTTCTAAAACCTTACTCCACTTATTCTCCCTTCTGATTCTCTGTTTTTGACATTTTAATGTTAACATGGTCCCCGTTGTTTTTTTTTTTTTTTTTTTGAATGATTCTTAATATTTTAACTAAAAAATTATGATGTTTAGTCTGTTGTCAAGAAAACAAGTATACTGGCGAATTTGTTGATTTCAAAATAATAATTAAAATTAAATATATGCTTCCTCTAAATAATAGTTTTAAAATATTGATAAATAAAAAATCTTGGGGTTAGTGCTATATGAGTTCGATGCTTTAAATGGTTAAACAAAAGCCGACCACAGTTTGTTCCATTATATTGGAGTTCAGGCTATCTGATTACCAGAGCTATAGTCCCTGGAAAAGAAAAATTACGACAACTTGGTACAAAAACTCCCAACCATTGATGCAATGCAAAGCTACTAGGCAAATTCGAAATTTTGAATCCAACTTGTGACAATTGATGCAAAGGAAATACATTTAAAACAAAAAACAAAAAACAACAGAACAGCTGCAATTCATAGGAAAATTGAAGCATTCCGGAAAAAACACAGAGCTCCCATAGCTACATTTACAGTGGAACTCTTGCTCTTGAAATTGATGATTTAAAACAGCAACCAAATTAAATACAAGCAAAAAAAAAGGGGGGACAGAATGCGCTCCTTATTCTCCAGGGATATATACCTAGGGCATCAGGAACTCCTCCCATTTGAAGTCCGCTCCAACTCTCGTTGGGTTCAGTGACTAGCCTAAGGTCCATCTTCTTGTGCTGAATTAAACAAAAATGGCCGAGTTTTTCATTTGAATTTATAAGATCAAGAAGAGATGATCATGCATGCAGGCATGTAGAAAAAGGAAGAGATAGAGAGGGACTTACTGCTTAAAATAAAGCCTTGAAGCAAGCTCTGTGCTCTCTCTGCCTGCTCTGGGGTTCCAGATATTTGTATGATCTTTTCTGTCACATCTGGTCTATCTTCGACGAGTATTACATTGGCTCCGGATAACTGTAACCATAAATGTTGAGGTCAACTAGAAATACTTTAAGCTTTAAATAAATATAACACTCGGAAACTTGCTGCAAGAGTAGGCTTACCTCACTGATCTGTGCAAGCTTGTTTTTCGATTTGGTAATAAGCTTGGGGACTGCGGGCTCAGGAATGACAACTTCAAGTATACTCCTAGTGACCAGCGTTACAGGGATTCTAGCAGGAAAATAAGATTCATGTTACAAAGTGGAGATCAGACGTTCCTCTTGAGATACTGCCTAATGTATTGCAATAAAGAACGTATTGCCAAACATGGTAAAGTAAAGTTGAATCAACTACCTATTCATTGTAGGAGTAGGCATATCTTCACGGCGTTCGCTTTCATTCTGCTTCACAGTTTCAACACTAGATCCTCTAGCATCCTACAAAACAAAGGGCTTCTCACCTTTTAGAAATCTCAAATAACAAGAACTAGAATTACAGATTTCTTGAATTCCGCCCCTGCTCCTTCGTTATTCTAAACATTGCTTTAGGATGCACACTCACCCTAACTCTTATGATAGATCGATAAGGTGGGAGAGAGGGATTTCACTGTCTTTTTCTTTTATTTTTTTGTGCCTTAAACCCAAGACTTTTTTTAAATTTTTTGTTCATTTATCTATGCTGTTCTTTTTAGAAATACCAATAGCTATCTCATGCAATTGACAGATGATATGAGGCGCATCCAACCAAAAAGGGTTAAATTCCATCAGAATACAAACATAAGACCCGCAAGAACTGCACAAGAAAGCTATCAGCTATAGAACTTATAAAGACACTCCAAATAGGCAGCAAATGGGACAGCAATGCTTCGAATTTACCTTTGGAAGATCAGGAAAGAGTTCGATTTGAACTTTTTCTGAGCCTTATTTTAACAAGTCATATTCATTGCACATTATCAAAAATGTGGACCAAGGTTAAATTTGGTTAGTTAGTTGTTTATCCAATTTCCTCAATGCCAGATGAGTACTCGAATAGACAGAGAGCAAAAAAGGAACCTTTGATGGCTGTGGTGTTGCAGCAGATTGCATATTCTGAAAGTTTGCAGGAGGATCCCCACCACTGTGACCTTCACGAGCTGGAGTTGGGTTATTTGGAGAAGCTGTCTGCACTCCTCCAGCAGTCCCAGCAGGGCCTGGTGCAGACACAGGTGGAGGCAGGTCCTTCTGGAAGACATCCTTGTATAAGTAACTCCGAAGTCTTGATGTCACTTCAACTAGAGCATCACGAGCTGCCTTTATTTCCCCTTCAATCTGTAGAGAACATCAAACACCACTCAGAAACTATAGAAGTCCTACTCACAAGGCACTTATTTGATCTCATGGGAAGCCAGATTTCAACACTTCATTTATCTTTCATCACAAACATGTCAACTGACAAATGATAGTTGAAGGTCACCCTCAAGTTAAGAAGTACACATCACAAGCACAGGGAATGAAGTGTATCCATATGGGGATGCCTCACAACTGTTCACTTCTAACCCACAGGCATTAAGAACAGTCTGCTAGAAAATCCATTCATGAGGAAACTGCCCTGCACTTGCATACCAAACAAAATAGTCTGGGACTATCGTCTATCAAAACTTAATTGTGCCAGTTATGGCAGTTCTCCATCACAAAATTACCCCATAGTAAACCAAAACCTGATTTTCACGACAGAGTCATCCAATTGTTTCAAGTGACATTAAACATCAAGCATCCAATAAGTCTTTGTTTCATTAGTGTTTATTCATTACGTTGTCTTAAATGACATTTGACATCAAGCATATACAAGTATTTGTTTCAATGGTGTTTATCATAATGTTGCGCAACAGACCTGTACAAGCTCATCAGTCCCTGGTAAATGTGGCGGAAGCATTTCCTTTGGCAGGATATCTATCGTTGCACCAGTTAACCTTTTCATCTCAGATAATGAGCCATCTCTTCCCTCTAAACATCCAATCTCACTAGATGGGACAAGTAATCTAGTTGTTATTATGTTGTCTTTATCTGGAACAAGATCAACAATGCGAGTTTGAATGTGCAACAAAGCTTCTTGAGCAGGAAATAGCTCATCATCAGGACCCTGTGCATAGATGTAAACCAATAGAAATGTTAAAACCTCTCAAATCGAAGAGGTGGGTGACAGTGCAGAGCTCAGGAAAAAAAATGAAAATCTACCGAAATATAATAGGATATAAAACTAAAATTAAAGGGGAAGGATAAATATATATCTGATAGACCAGGAGGTAAAGTGGTAGAATGTAACTGGAAGGAATAGAACACTGTAAAAAAAGACAAACATAGTGACATAGGCAGAATAGACACTTTAGCACCCTCGATACTAAATAGCAACAAGGAGATGGTGAGTACCTCCTCAGAGCAAATGGTGATTATTTGTTCATCAGACCCAGACACAGGATCAGCAACCTTAACATCCACACCTATTTCATTTTGAAGCAAGTCCACTATGCCATCAGGTTCTCCAAAAACTCTATCAACTTTGTCAACTGGGCAAAGGATTCGAAACACAAGGTCCTCGACATAAAAGGGCTGTGCACTGTCAGCGATGTGATCAGCCCCAGAGTCAACAGGAAAACCGGATGCTCGTGAGGAATAGTTATTGTTTCTGTAGTTAGGGGCAGGTACTCGCGAACCAAAAGAGGGTGGTCCGTCCATCGATGAACGACGTGTATTCACATGAGGAACATAATCATCATCAAAAAACCGCTCTGGTGAGTGTACCCGTCCATGAAAATGACTGCGGTCACGATGCTGACTCTCCCTCAATCTTGATGAAATAATAGCAACAGCATTTTTCACAGCATTGACATCACCTACAACCTGCCAGGAAAGTGCAATGCATGAGGCACTGAACATGATAATTCAAATAGAACCATTTTATTCTGGCTTTACATTTGCTTCAAGAGAGGAAAAACACCGGTAGCTTCATGCAATTCCAACAGCCTCCATTGGCAAAGAAATCTCAAACTAGTACCTTCCTGGCATAACATCACATTATGCATTTTACAACAAATTCAATCATATCAAGAGCACAGCAGAGGAACCAATATCCAAAGCGTGCAGTCTTGACTTTAACTGCCATTACCAATAATTCACACTCTGAAACTTTAATTGAAAGTAACTCCACTATCTGGTTCTCTAATCAAAGAACTAAAGACACCAAACACATTAGAAAGCACAACCAGCCACACTTTGTTAAAATTAAACAAATGACAGCTCTTACTCATCAACTTCCAATCATTGATCTCTTTTCAAATTTTAAATGGATCAAATCAAATATCTAAACAACAATACAGTAATAGTTCCTTAAAAAACCAATAAATTGCAGATGGCAGAATCATCCTACAATCAATCAATGAAACCCCAGATAGTCTTAGGCCTCAATAATAAGTCAACAGTCAAGTATAATGTTCCATAACTCCCAGACATTGCATTAAACCCATTGCAATTAAAATTGAATAAGTCATTTATAAATCGATCCAATAACTCCCCTGATAAGGTCAGTTCTAGTTTCAGTTTCAGTTTCAGTTTCACCAAAATCAAGTTCCATCCAACATTTTGTTCAATAAAAAGTTCCTGGCAGTAGTAATAGTCAGTCACAAGTACAACACAAGAGATTTACTGGGGAAACATAAAACCTGAACAATCTCCTCAGACATGGAAACACATCTTGGCAAGGTATGATCTCTAGGCAAAATCCTAATCTGGGTCTTTGTTTCCATCCTCATTTGCTCAATAATCTTCCCACCTTTCCCTAACAAACATCCCACGTGCATTCTTGAAACAACCAATCTGGTAGCCACTCTATTCCCTCCTCTCCCCACATACTCATCCTCATCAAACCCACCAACCCCACTACTCACCACACCATACTGCAAATCGTTCTCAAGGATCCTATCATGTATCAAAAAAAGCGCCTCTTGCGCTGGCGAAAACGAAGGCATTCTCCCTTCTGGGTCTCTCCTACGCGTATCCGAAATCTCAATAATCCTCTCCTCGTCACCAGGAATCAATTCATGAACATTAATCCACGCGCCTGTGTGTTGCCTTATTGACTTGATTATGCTCCCTGACTTACCAATTACTCCTCCTGCTTTCATATCATGACATAAAATTCTGTAACTTGTTGTCACCATTAATGACGATGATTGGTCTTGTTGTTGCTGCTGCTGTTGCTGCTGCGGTTGCTGCTGTTGCTGTTGGGTCCTTGAAAACCTGTTGTTGTTGAACATGTTGTTGCCTCCTTGTCCACGGTGACGGTAATAATTGTTGTTGTTGTTGTTGTTGTATCTGGGTTTGGTCCTAACCATGTTGTTGTTGCTGTTGAGGTTGTCATTGTCATAATCTTGATGGTCATAGTAGTAGTTTCTCTTGGATCTAGATCTATCCATTTCTAGAAAACCCAACAAAATGCAAAGGTTATACAGTAAAGATCTGTCTCTCTTTTCCTCCGATTCTTGATTTCTCAAATGTTCAGGGTTTGATTCTTCCTTGCAATCTGTTTCTTGGGGTTTGATCAACTGTTTTAAGTCTCAGCTTTTGCTATGCTTTGCTTTTCTGCTGCTTGATTGTCTGTGTGAGTCTTGGAAAACCCTAGTAGAAGAAGAAGAATCTTAAAAAGACGGGAAAAAACGTAGAGAGAGACTGTAAGAGTCATACGTTAGTGATAAGTTAGCTTTACTAAATTTAATAAATAAATAAATAACAACTTATAATAATAGTTTTTTTGATACTTTACTCTCATGGTGTTCCAAAAAAAAAAAAAACCTATATTCTACTTATTATTTTAACTCCTATACTTTTAAATTTCTCAATATCAGTCTTAGGGTTTTCAAAAAGTTTTTTGATTGTAATTAGAATCATGTAAAGAAAAAATATTGAGTACTTGTGGATTTTTTAGTTATATTAAGAATTTTTTGTGAAATATTATCACATGAATGAAATTTTTTAAGGAAAATATTAGGAAAAAAATGATGGTAGAGAAATTGAGTATTTTGTTATATGTTATTATTTATTTCAAGCTACAAGATCATATTAGAAATTATAGCTATGAAAATGCGTATGAAGAAAAAAAGGAGCATTTTATTACATTTCCATCATGTCACATTGAACTTTGTTGGAAATTAAAAAATTAACCTGCAACATTTTAAAATATAAAGAGCAAAATTGAACATTTTTTAATTTATAGAACCTAAAATATAGTTTATTGTTTGTAGATCGATCAAAAAACCGATACTATTATGGTGCCATACAACTAAAGAGATCAAATCCGACAATCAACTTATAAATTGTCGACTATCATATCAGTATTTGTTAATGTGGATCTAGTGATATGTCTTGCATTGGTATCATAATGTTATAGAACTATAATTACAATTATGTTCTTCCATTAAGTAATTGATTGTAATTAAAGATAGAATCATGCAAAGAAAATATTATCACATGAACGAGATTTTTGTGGGGAAATATAAGGGAAAAGGATGGTGGAGAAATTGATTATTTGGAAAAGTTAAAATTGGATTGAAGAATCCAAGTAAATATTTTCGAATCTACATGACAAGTCTAAATATGGTTACCTAATATAAAGAATTGATATTTGAGTGAACTATACTTTAGCTATAATTTATTCAACTAGTTTTCATTTGAGTTTTTATATTCCTCATTTTTTAATATTAACCACTTATAATACTAGTTTTTTGATACTTTACTTTCATGGTGATGGAATGTTGAATTAATACATATATATATATATATATATATATATATATATATATATATATATATATATATATATATATATATATATATATATATTCTAGGTATTATTTTAACTCCTATACTTTAAATTTGTCAATATAAATTTTAGGGTTTTCAAAAAGTTTCGAACTCGTATTTTTTCATAAATGATGATTCTTAACTATATAGCTCATGTTTATTGTCATATCGGTGTATCTATTGAACTATAGTAATTTACTTATTAATTTGCCGACTACCATATCAGCATATTTGTTAATGTAGACCTATCAATATGGTTTGCATCAGCATTATAATTAATGTTACAAAGCTATAAGATATGTTATCAATATATATGTTAATCTTATAGTTCTATAACTAAATAACTCATATTTATTACCATATCAATGTATCTATTGAAATGTGACAATCAACATATTGACTTATCGACTATCATATCGAGTATATTTGTTAATATAGACCTATTGATATGTCTTATATCAACACCGTGATGCTACGGAGGTATAAGATATGTCGACTACCATATCAAAAAATTATAAATTAGTTTCTCTAGCTTTTCAAAATGAATTAAATTGTTTAAATTGTTTTAAAAATAATTAATTAGTCTCTATATTTTTATTTTTGTAATTTAATCATTTTTTATTGTTATTTTGATTTTTTATTTGAAGAAATAGAAAAATAAAAAATAAGTGAAAAATAAAGAAAGATTAATGAGAAAAGAACATATTTTTTAAATAAAATAATATTGACTTAATTATAATCAACATTAGTTAAAAAACTAATTAATTAATTTTTGAAATATGAAAGATTATTTAATTTATTTTAAAAAACTAAAGAGACTAATTTATAATTTACTCCCAAATTATTGGTGTCGTTTTCTTTTGTTAGACCCAATTCACGAGGGTGTGGTATTGTGACCAAATGGTGGGGTTTCATTAACGATTGAGTCGAAAATCAAAATGACTTTCTCGCCTTGTCAAATTGGGTTCTAATTGGACCGGGTTCTTAAATTTGATTTGATTAGACTGGTTCTTTCACGACTTGATTAAAACCCAATTTGCTAAAATAAAAAAAATAAAAAAAGTAATTCATCTTTTTAATGTTTTATTAAGAAATGAAAATTTGACATTTGGATTAACTCGGCTATCAATGAATTAATTCAATAATCTAAGTGATTTGAGCTCTTAGACCGATCGTGTTTAGAACGAATGTAACAACTATGGTTTTGTATGCTTAATCCTCTTCTTCGTTTTTCCTTTACGGTCAATTATAAGAAACTTGTAATGTTATCCAATGATTTGACAATAATAAGAGAATGTTATTATTATTATTATCATTATTGAGCAAATAAGATTCCTTTTTGGGTTAATTGCGGTAAATCGTTTCATAAAATTCAGTTGTTAATATATAGTATAATTTGTTCTTTGGAATTATTTTAAAGGTTTTTTTTATGCTTTTAATTAATAAAATTCCGTTGTTAATATATAGTATAATTTGTCTTTGAATTTATTTTAAAGGTTTTTTTATGCTTTTAATTATTTTCAATCAAAGAAGTTTGTTGATGTCTTTCTCGAAACAATTAACTTATAGTCCAAAAAGTAAATTGTTAAGAGTTTTTGCACACCAATCATGGCATATTTGGATAATGTGATTGCATTTTTTCGAATACCTTTGCTATTTTAGAAATAGATGTCTTACCTAATTTTATGTTGTTTGTTAATAGAGAGAATCATTAAGTGTGTTAAGAGTTGTGTTTTGATTTTTCATAAAAACATGAGATCTATTATTAAAATAATTTACGAGTTTTATATTGTTGTGAGAAAGAAAGAGTACAATCTTTGATAATTGAATAATTCCTCATTATCACTATGCAATCGATATTCTTAGAATGACAATGTATATGGTCGGAATGGATTTTTATGCACCACCTTCAACTCGTAATGCTTACACTCATCATTCGATGCAATTAAAATAGATGTGATGGAGGACTTTATCTACTTTATTTACTCGGATAGATATCTAAATAAATCCATTTTTGTAGCTTAGAAAAAAAGGTTGGACAAAACCTAAAGCAATGAGAAAATCTTTCTCATAATACACCGAAGTCTTTATTTTATCAAAATTAGATTTGTGACTTTCACCTTTACTTTCAAGTTGGGCGTGAAACCGAGAAAATAAGATATTAAAGTTCGAGACTAATAAGATTTGGAGTTCAACCATAAGATATGGAGAGAATAGAAAAAACAACGAACAAAACATCAAGGAAATGATACAAACCAATCCTTTCGTAACTACAAACACTTTGATCAAAATGCAAACTAGTTCGATGTCATCTCAAGAGAAGAACAAACTAGTAACAATTACAATTTTGAACAGAAGAAAACAAATTAGATTTTTTCTCATATTTAATCCTATACTTTTTGAATTTTTTTATTTAGACCCTCAACTTTTTCTTTTTTGGCTCAATTGAAACCCTTTACTATTCAAGATTTCTTACTTCAAATCTTCCGTTATAACTGTACCAATTAGTAATTGACACATGGTATTGTAAAGTAAAAGATCTCAAAGAGGTGTCAATCACTAATTGTTGGCAAAAGGCTTAGAGTCGAAATCTCGAAGAGTGAAGAGCCTTAATTAATTAGTTTAAAAAATAAAGAGTTTCAATAAAACAAATTAAATAAATACAAGATCCAAATACAAGAAAAACCCAAACAAATTAGTACAAAAAGAATTAAAAAAAAAATCTAAAAAGCTAGAGAAGGAAACTTAACTAATTATTATTAACAACAAATTCACGGACTAAATCTAAATGTAATTCTTTTCTAACTTGGATTGCTACTAGTCAACAATTAAGAAGGAAATGCTGGACTAGGAAACCAAACTCATTTGCTATGTATTTCATGCAAATCAATAAAACTCAACACACACACACACAAGCACAATCTACCAAAAAAGAGAGGAAATGCTTGTAAATTATCATTATTATTTTATTAGAATGGTCTTTAATTATTTCATACAAGCAATAAAATCCTATTAATATAATTGAGCATTTTAGGGCTATTTCCATTTAAAACACGTAGCGGGTGATTCATACGTATCAAGTCTACATGGTCCTCCTTGACTTATATTCTAAGTACGAGTCATCACGCTACATATGATCCCTCATGTCTTGGTAAATATTAAATCTTTTGAATTGATTTTCCCATTGAAAACTACAAAAAAAAAAAAAAAAGGTTCTAAAATAAAATTAATGACGAAATCTGATTTAAAAGCTTCCATCGAGAGGAAGTACTTTCACATCGGGGTCATCATCCTTTGATTTGCAATGTACTATTAACTTGGACCCGATTCCAAAGAATTAAAAATTTTAAGGTGTTGTCCGGGATAAACACAATTATATCCATCACTAATTGACAAAAATAATATTAGTAACACCAAAACCTTAGCGAACAAAGCCATCATCACAAAGTATGCTCCTTTTTTTTTTTGTCTTTTTTTTTCCTCTTTTTGATTGGCTCCATAAAATAGTTTTTCTGTTTTTGAGAATATTTGGTTC